AGATATCAAACAAGTAATCCACAGTGTTGTTCAGCATGGGGGTGAGGAGAAAATGAAGGCGAATCATGTTTTGGGTGTACTATTCCTTTAACCCCACACTGCTCCCTGGGCGCCGCACGATGGCAGCCCACTGCTCCCCAGCAAATTTCTCAAATGTGAGATCATGTGAGAATATTAATTCTTAATAATAATTCAATTACATAGACAATGATGATTTTCGCTTCAAAGGAAGGATTCATCCTATTTTTGGAATATTTCTCATCGGATTTAGAGCAGTTTTAGTAAATTGTTTTGAGAAGCACATACGAGTCTAAGTCTAAAACCAATAAAGGATCCTTTCCTCTCTTCTGCAGCCTGAAGAACCTGATTAATGGGAACTCTATGCCTTGGGACCAAACTCTAGCGCTTCTCTTTAATAAATGTTTAACAGCAGAAAATATAATCAGAGCTTTGCGCCAGAGAGATGAAAAAAAAAATTAGTTTACTCAAAAAAGATTAGACAGGTTCATGGATAAATAGATTAGAGGTTCGACTGCATGGAAATTGAAATAGTGTACATTTGAATAACTTGAGCAAGAGGTAAAATGTATATAAAGATAACAGTGGGACAAGAATAAGTCTTGAGGGACACCACAGATGAGCTTTACAAAATTAGACTAATCGTTGCCAAAAGTAACTGAAAACATTGTTTAACTTTAATAATTCAAACCTTCTGAGTCACTCCAGTGGACCGTTGCAGACAATCAATCAAAGGTCCAACTACATGCATAACTGAAAAGCAGCATCTGACTTCATGCTTAGAGAAGTTTCAGAACTGCAGTGCCTACTGAGATCAGACTGAAACTTTCCCAAAAATTACATTTTCATTTAAAATGGATAAACATCAGGGAACACACACATTTATAAAAAAAAATGGCAATAAAAGGTCATTTGGAATAAGATCTATATTTGCTTACATACATCCTTTCTGCTCTAGGTATCCCTTATAGATTATAGACGAATAAACCAGTTACTTAAATAAATTTTTCTTTTATAATTTTAATTTGTAGTTTATTTCACTGCCAACACAAAACATAATGGAGAAAACACGCTAGAGTCGTCTTCCTCCTGTATTCCATTCTCGATCTCTATAGAAAGTTTAGTTATCAGGCTCGTCTC